CATTGCTTTCCTGCATAGATTCGAACAGGCATACAATGTCATCAGCGTACTCTAAATCGTACAGCTTTTCTCCAGCTGCCCATTCAACACATACGTTTTGGAGACCACTAAGTGTTGTCTCCAGTACTTCGACTACAACGAAATTGAACAGGAATGGCGAAATAGGGCACTCTTGACGGACACCGCTCCGGCGAAGTATCACAGAAGTTAACACTTTTGTGATTATCGGAACTAAACTAATCCAACGGTGGTTAGCGCAATCGTTGCGTGAAGATCGGGAAGATCAACGATTCACCCCAGGACAAAGGGATACGCTTCTCCGTCTAAATGCTGCAAAGTAAGCTAGAGTAGACGGGAGAATCACCGCCCACGAAAAAGAATAGGGGGAAACCCATCAGCTCCCGCAGCCTTCCCTTTCTTTAATGATTGAATGCAGCTTAGTACTTCCGATTCTGATGGGGGCTCGCATGTTACCACCGAAGGAGTTTCCGCCGCAATTGCTGGCATGACCACATTAGCACTGGGCCAACTGAACTTTTCACTACTCTGCCCAGCGATCGAGTCGTCGTTCTTTATCGTGGATGCTTTGTCCACTTTTATCACAAACGGTCTCACCGACCGGTATGCGACGACCTCCGGTGATGCGTATCAGGTGAAATAGTCTTTGACAATTCCCTGATGCAGAAGCTACCCCCATCTCACTAGCTATTTCAGTCCGCCAATTTTCACGATCTTTCTTAAGGATATTTCTGAGTTGACGTTGCAGGCGACACCGGTCCTTATGCTGATCCTGGCAAATTGGGATCTTTCGCTTTTGATCCATCAGGATTACTGACTCATGAGAGATCCAATGCCTTCGGCGAGCTTCGGGCTCAGTCCGACAAGCAAAGTTTGCTGCTGAGTGCCTCGCAAATTTAATCTGATTCCATTATTGATCTACTCCACCACGTCGCGGTTCTCCTAGATCCTGTCCCAGCTCCTCCTCATAACGTGTGCCGACAGATGGATCGCGCAGACGATGGTGAGCTAATTGAGGAGGCGATTTATGTCGATGACCAATGAGTCGAAGAGTGAAGCGTAACAGAACTAGTGCATGATCCAACTCAATGCAGGTGGACCAATAGGATCTGCAATTTTGTACTGAGCCACGCCAACGGTAGCTTACAGCTACGTGGTCAACTTGGGTCAATGTGCCCGTTGAAATAGAACACCATGTAGCCGTTCGACGAGAGCTATGTCGAAAGTTGGTGCTAGATAAGAACAGCTGGTGATCCGCGCAGAACTGAAGTGGTCGATCACCATTGTCTGTTCGCAGGGCGGGGAGGGCGAAGTGCCCTCCTAGAGAGGATTCCGACCTGCGCGTTAAAATCACCTGCCAGCACTATAATATCAAAGCTGTAGTTCAACCGAATCAGTTTGGCGAGTTTGTCGTAAAATTCGTCCTCTTGTGAAGCGGGACTGCAGTTGGTTGACGCATACGCGGAAATGATGAACAAACACTTTTTGGTGTTGCTACCCTTCCGAACACTAACTGAATCCTGTAGCCTCAT